TAGAATATAGAATAGTAAAATAATTAATTAAAATAATTTTTGAATATTATTTTGAGTATAAATTAAGTGTAGAATAGTTTTTTGATAATAAGTATTGTATATTGTATAATATTGTAGATTGTGGATTAGTTTCATAAACAAAAGTTAATTAGCATAGAATAATTTTTTGACGTTTATATTTTGGGTAGATTAATTAGTTTAAAAAACAGTTATTATTAATATTTTAGATTAAAAAATAAATTAATTAATATAAAATAATTTTTGGATGTTACAAAGATTTTAGACTGTGAATCAATTTTTCAAATAATTAGCGTAAAATAATACTTATTAAACAAATTTTTTAAACAAATATAGGCTAATTAATGTAAAATATTTTCAGATTTTATATAGTATTTTGAATGTAGATTAATTAGTGTAGACTTAATTAGAGAGTAGTTTTTGAGTGTTGTTTGAATTAGTTTTTTAAACGAAAATGGGCTAATTAGTACAGAATAGTTATCAGCGCATAGTATTTTAGATTGTAGATCATTTTTTTAAACAAAAATGTAATTGAACAAAAATTTAAATTGAATGTTTATTCATGAATATCATCTAATTGATCAAAATAATAAATTTAAATTATTTTTTATTTTTGAAAATAATAAAAAATACATGCAATAACTTTTTATCAAATTAATACAGATTACACATTCAATTATTTTTATTATTATTATTATTATATTATTATTATCTTGAAATATAATATTTATATACATTAGATATTATGACATATAAGTTGTTTTTAACGACTATTAAAATACAAAAAAATAGAAAAATTTATAAAATATTCATTGTAACATTTTGATAATTATATAATAATATATAATTAACTTAAAGTTGTATAAATTCTCTTTTTAATTCGATATTATTCTTTTTAATATTATGATATCTAAAGAGATTATCTATAATTCTCTCTCTTTAACTATTTAAATAATTGAATAATAAAATAATAAATTTCTTGCATCAATATAATAAATTTAAAATATGTAAAATAATAAATTTTAAATTTTATATCACACCTTCTTTAGCAAAAAATATATTTCTATTAATTATAATTAATAAAAAAAATATCTTGAAAAAAATTTTAGTTTTAAAAAATTATTATTAAAATATCTATTTATATTTGAAAAATATCTATTTATATTTGAATATATTGAAGTATCATAGTTCCAATTATATAATATCTAATATAATTAAGCCATCATTACATTCTTAACATAATTATGTTCATAAGATATAAATTTGCATAATTATTCATTTATAATAATTAGTAAATATTTATAGATAATTGAACAATTGAATAATGGTAAATTTTATTATTATAGATTTTATTATTGTAGTATCTATTGATTGTAGTTTATTGAATCAAAATGATTTGTTATTTTATTCCAAAGAGTTTAATTTAAAATCAATTTCTATGTATCTTAAATTTTTTATTAAGAATAGATAAATACAATTATTATTAATTTTTCTATAATTTTTATAACAATTTAATCACATCTATGATATGAATTTGATTTATTTAATAAAAAAAAAAAAAGAAATTTAATTACAAGTCTAACTTTCTTCGATAAAAAAGAATCAATAAATACTAATTATGTATAATATTTCAACACTTTGCATCTGACACAGTGAATAGCTAAGACTCTTTTAAGTAACTACTAAATAAATAAGGCAAGATATTAAAGATTCGTTTGAAGATGGTTGAAGTTAGTTTATGTAGAATTGTGTGTATACAGCCTCTAGCCACTACTACTGTGTAGTAAATTCAAAATCTTCAATATTTCTTTTCTTCCTTTTTTTTCAATTTTTTTAAAATTTTTAAAATTGAAATTTAATAACATATAGGTGTAGATATTAATCATTATTTTTGTTTTATAGATTTCATAAAAAAATTCAATATTTAATATATATAATAATGTATTTAATCCCCAATACAAGAAAGACTTATTTAAGTTATGTACAATTTATAAAATTTTTAATTAATTTCATTTAATTTAAGAGTATAGATAATAATCTTATAATAAATATTAAAATATATAAAATATAATAAATATTATATAGTATAATATAGTATTATATAGTAAATAGTAAAATATATAAAAGATATTTTATGCGGAGATAATTGTATATATCTAATTATAATATCTTAAAAAATTTGTTATTATTTTTGCAAAAATTTTCTAATAAGAAATTTTTTATTACAATAATTAATGATTAATAAATACAAAAGGATGCAAATAATAATAAGTTATTCACAATAATTTTAAATTATGTACAATTGATTGTACATAACTAGAAACAATTTGTTGTAAAAAATTGAAATTTTTATGATCATGGATCAATATTGTAGTTTTATATTAATAATAGATAAAAACAATAAAAAATAGAATGAAGAGGTGAGGAAGAGACAATGTGATCGTATCTTGAGGTGAATAATCAGAATCCCGAAATCAATGGGATAGCTTTAGAATGTGTTGAATAGTGTTGAATTTACGGTCCTCCTATCTTTCAAAGGGATTCCATGAGAAATTAAAAAAGACGAAGATGGAAAATCTACACGACAGAATCTGAAACGTGAAGATTTTTGAATAAGGAAAAAAATCATCAGTAAAATATTTCATTTCAGATTTTCTCTCAATTTCATAAGTTTTAGATGAAAATTCTCAAGTCTAACATTTTAAATTCTAATATTTAAATTTTTAATATTTGAAAAAATTAATTATAATTATAATGAAGAAGAAATTCTCAAGATACGAGAATAATTGGATTGGATTACAATTAGTTTTCAATTGCTCAAAAATTTTTTTTGATTGAAAATCAACATAAATTGAATTCTTTCTTAATTTTTTACTTTCTATTTTCGCAAATTATACAAAAGATTCAATGAAAAAGTAATATAATTTTATTTCTTCGTAAAAAAACGAAATAATTACAGGAAATGATGTATAAGACGAACATTTATCTAAAGAATTTTATTAAATTGCAATTTTTAAGTATATATGAGTACAATAAAATATACTGTAAAATTCTTTAATATCTTAAAGTACAAGAATCGTTCTATTAAAATTCATAATTGTTAAATTACAATTTTCTCGAATTAAATTATCTATCATTTTCACTATTTTTTCTTCAACTTCCTCGTGTAATAATTTTAGAATTTTTAATATCCTGTCTACGATATTCAAATTCTCGTCTTTCAATCTCAACATAATCTTTAAATTTAAATTAAATTTAAAAAAAAAAATTATAAAAAAAATTTTAGCATATAATTGAAAATAAAAAGTCAAAAAAAATTATTCTTTCTAAATTACAACTTTCTCGAATTAAATTATCTATCATTTGTACTACTTTTTCTTCAAGTTTCTTGTAATAATTTTAAAATTTTTAATATTCTGTCTACGATATTCAAATTCTCATCTTTCAATCTCGCTTCAACACGATTTTGCTTTAAATATTATAAGAAAAATTCTAGCATGTAATTGAAAATAAAAAGTTCAAAAAAAAAAATCATTATTTAATATTTTTGATATTAAATTCAATTTGAAAAATATTGAATTGCAAAAATTAAATTGAACAATTTTATCGAAATTAATTATTTATTTTTTTAAAACTTATATATTTATACATTGATTCATTTTTTGAAAAATTATATATTTTAAAACGAAATTTAAAAATTTTTAAAAAGTTGAAAATTCTATATTTTGTACACAAAAAATATATGATTTTTTAAAAAATGGAATTAATCAGTTATATGATTATAAATATATAAATTTTTATTTTTTAAAAAAATAATTAATTTCGTTGAAATTAATTAATTTGTTTCTTACGGGAAAAATAATATTTTTCAAGTTTATTTAAAATATTAAAGAATCGTTTTTTCTCTTTTTTTTTTTAAATAAATCATTAAAAAAAAATTTGAAATAATTTAAAAAAAAAATATTAAGTGAAATACTTCCATAAATAACATATTTCTGAAAATAATATTTCATTTAAAATTCAAATCAAATATTATTTGTAAACATTATTTTATTAAATGCTTAAATCACAAGCAAATTTACTATTTATCAAATAAAAAAAATATAATATATATATTATAAAAAATAAAAGATATAAATTTCAATACAAAAATGAAAAATCTTATATTTAATTTTTATAAGTATACATTAATTTTATTTGAAATATAATTTTTCTTGTATTTATAAAAATATTTATAATAATACTTAAAAAAATTCATGAAAAATATTTTTATATGTATCATTTCAAAAAAAAGTTAAAATAGAAATAAAGAAATATTCTATTTTAAAAAATACTTCTCCTAGCTCTGTTAGCAAAAATAGAAAAATATCATTATGAAAATAATAAATTATAAGAATATAATTATTAACTTATATATCATCATCAATGCTCGCACGAATTTATTAATATTAAAAATAAATAATAATGATATACATTTTAAACAATTATATAAAACTATACAAATAATATAATAATATTATAATAATATAATAATATAATATATGATATACACAATATATCAATCAATACAATTAAATATGATTTCTCGAGGCACAAATAGAAATATGATGCGAACGAGTTAAAATTTTTTAGATCGCTGATTAATTTACTTTGGCTTTGATGTATTAGGATGGGCCATCGATTGTTTCAAGTGCGTCTCGATCGACGGTGACAATAAGCCCTGCGACGATCCGTTTCACAACAACGGAAGCCTCGCCTTCTTAGAGTCGCCTTGCTTGGGAGGTCGCAAAGGGCGCGATGGTCTTTTCCCCGCGACTGCGTGCATCAAAATAGCGGGCATATATGGTAAAACTTTCTTCTTTTTTGTAATAACGAGTGGCCCTTAACCCTCTTTCGCCGCTGTCTGTTCAACGAATACACTATATGCTTTCCGGTATAGTATCTGCTACTTGTTTATGGAGATTTCACCGGTGGAAAGTTAATACATTGCTCGAAAGAATCAACGGATTCAATTGTGAATGAATAATTTCGAGAAATTTCGCAAAGTGTGTTTGTTAATTAAAGTGTTTCGAAAACGATAAAGATAAGTACTTTATAAAGGGTAAAAATTCTATTATAAATTTCTAATAGTGGAAAGAAATTGCTTTTTTTCACAGGTTTTATATACAATACTTTTTTCTTTTGTTTAATTTTTGTTATTTTTATTATATTATTAATTAAAATTAATTAAAATTAATTATAATATTTTTTCTTTGGTCTTATATCATAAATTTATTGTTATTTTAAAATGAATACATAAATATGTAAATTATGAATTGATATCAATGATGAATTTTTTATATTCTATTCCAAATTTCCAAATTTCTTCCTTTAAAATTATATTTAAAAAAAAACCCATATATGTTGAAAATAAAAATTTGTAAATATTCGTATTATCTTGAAAAATTTCTTGGTAAAATTCAGATTTAAATATTACTACAGAAAACAATTATTGATTACTATTGGAAGTCATAAATAACAAAAAAGAATTTCTATATTTCTATATTTATTCCCATATTTAACTTTTATATATTTTATATATTTAGATAATTTTGGAAATGTATTAACAAATAAAATATTAAAATAATTAGCAGACTAGCGTTTAAAATAATTTCAGAAAATTTAAAAAATTATGTCTACAAAATTTCGAAAATAGAAACCAAGAAAAATATTTTTATTTAAATAATTTTAAAATTATTTTATTTAGCATTATTTAACTAATAAAATAATGACATTTAATGTCATTATTTATATTATTACTAAATATTATTAATAAATTATAATATTATCATTCATATTATTATATTATTTTATTTTACTTTAATTAAGATTTAATTACATTATTTATATTATTTAAAATTATATTTAAATATATAATGCAGCTATATTAATTTTTTATTGGTAATTAATATTTTTTCCCTGTATACATTACTACTACTTTTAATTAAAAAAAAAAAAATACACAAAAACAATATATATAAAATTTCATCTACATAAAGTTTTAAATTCTCTTCCACAGAATACAGAATTAAAACAAAAAGTAAATAAATATATTTGTACAAATATCAACTCAGATAAAATTTCAACCTTTTCACATTTCTTCGGTTTTGCGGCATGTTGAAATATTGTAAATAGAAAAATACATATAAATATTTATAATTAATTAATATTATTTACTAGATGAGTCCGGGATCTCTTTGACGGTGAGAAGCTGCGCGCTGGACAGCGGAACTCTAACGACCGACTCCGAAATCATAAGAATGTCTCATTGTGGAGGGTTTTATTTCGACGACAAGTAAGTATAGAAACATACGAGAAGAAATGTAATTTGAGTTTGCTTTTCTTTGTGTCACGGCGCTAATTGCAAATGCTACATCGTTTGAAATTGACCCTTATTATAGTTGGCACGAAGTTGTGACGATTGTGAAGAAAAAAAAAAAGAAGAAAAAAAGAAATATAAGTGGCTACGTCTATATATGTTTATTTTAATCAATACTTTGCTTCTCAGGGAATACATGTTTCAATTAAAACGAATTATATTTATATATTGCAATTGCAGAAAAGTTTCGAATTTTTTAACTTTGTTTTTAATGTATTGATAAGTATAATGAAGTAAATCGATTTCTTAATATTTTTTATAAAATAATATTTTGTAATATTATATGAATTCAATGAAATAGGTCAACTTGTAAATATAATAGAATGTTGATTATCCACATTATTCACATGAATTTCAATTATCCACATTTATTAATAATGCAGTAATCCATTATCTAAATGCAATAACAAATATGTATTTAATTATATTTATTAACATATTATTATATTATATTAATATATGTATTTAAATTACAGTATATCTGAAAATATTTCTAAGAGATATATTTTAGATATCTAAAAATGATTAATTTATTTTTTATAATGCATTTCTTTTATGAAATATGTTTTCTGATAAATGTCTATATTTAAGAATTGTTCAATTTTCACTTATTTCATCACAAATTTGATTTTTTGTGATCGATTATTTAAAAAATTGCTTATCCGAAAAAATTTCTTTTCAATTAATTCTCTAAAACTGTAATATCATATATTGAGTTTTAAAAACTCAATTTTAATTGCAAAAAATCAATTAAAATGTAATTAATTATTACATTACGGATGTTTATACATTTATGAAAATTTCAAAAGTATAAAAATTTTTAAAATATTCAGAGCACAATATCTATGCATTATATTTATAGAATATAAAGAATACAACAAAGAATATTTCTATAAAACATTTTCTTTAGTTATAAAAATTAAATTTTTCATAAATATCTGAATTTTATTTGTTATAAATTTTCTAAACAAAATAAAAAATTATTGTTGCAGCAAAATAAAAAATACTAAAAAAAAATACGAAAAAAATAAACAATTTAAGTAGTATTATTAATATTATATTTATCACATTAATCCAATTACTTTATTTTGTTCATTGTAAAATTTTGTAAATAATTAAATCTTTTAAAAAAGTAAAAACTTAAAAAAAGTTTTTAAAATTATTAATTAATATTAAAGTATTTTAAATGAAAAAAAATATTTTTTGTAAAAACAGTTATTAATAAATATAAATATTATTATTTTTTAAATTATTATTGAAATCAGACTTTTGAAACGATTTCATTTAGTTGACCTATTTTTTGAAGTTATGAAAAAATATTATATTCAGCATAAAATAAAGTTACAATTTAAATCCAACATAATATTTATAACTTTCATAACAATATATTTAATATATAATATTTATAATTAAAAATTAAATTATATACTCCTTATATATTAAATATATCATATTATATATTATATTCCAAAAAAATCATTCAAATTTCAAATTCGATTAAAATATAAATTTTTTCTCGAAAGAAATGATTATAGACTTCACATAAATCTTTATAAACTGCAACAATGAAACTTTTGCTATAAATATATTTTGTTATAGATATATTTTGTATAGATATATTCTCAGCTCAAGAAAATGGATTTTCCTAAGATCGATTAAAATTGCATATTTCATTAATTTTTATTTAAAAAGTTATTTAAACAAATTGTCAAAATTAAACGATTTAACAAAATTTCTATTTCAAATTAATAATTCATTTTTAATAATGTATAAAAATTCTAACAATATATAGAACTTAATGTTCTGACTTTAAATTACGATTTTTAGATATGTTCGAGGTTGTGTACAATCATGCAACGATGCAGACGCCTGCAATGGATCTACGCGGCAAGCAATTTCACTCATACTTTTAACTCTATCGATTTTTCTTGAACTAATTTGCATCACGTGAAACTAAACTAAGTAACATCACATGTTAAATAAATGATAGACAATTATTGTATATATACATAAAAAAGAAATTACCTGTATAATATTAAATTGTCCCAAAAATTCTTTTTGTTATTTGAATAATTTTAATGATCATGACAATCTAATTTATTTTTCATTTATAATTTTTTTAAAAATAAAGATATTTTCTTGTTAAATATTTTAAATTCTTTTGCAAAAATTATTAATTAATATTAACAAGTTATAAATTTATCAGATTATAGATTACTTTTATAATTATACGTTAAATGAAATAATGATTTGATGATAAAAAAAATTGATTCTTTCAATGATATTTAAAATTATTATCTCGAATAAATTAACAAATTAGAATTTATTAGATTATATATTATTTTTTTACGATTATAATACATCAAATAAAATAATCAAATGAATTGATTATCCATAAAAAAATTTATTATTTTAATAACATTGAAAATCATCTCGAGTATTTCAAATACCTAAGTCAAAATTATTGTGAAAATAGAATAAAATCATTATTATAAATTAAAATGGTAGATGTTTCAGAAAAATTTAATTCTGACACTTTGTATATAAGATATATAAAATTTTATAAATGATAAAATTTTATTGAAATATGTAACTATGATCCATCTCGATCACTATTTTAGAAAAATGAAATAATGACGGTTTTAAAAAAATAGATAATAGTAAAAAAATGAAAAGAAGTTTTGGGGCAATTTAAGAGGAAAACTTCGAATTTAAATCAATAATTGACCAATTTAGTGGACCAAAGATAAAAGAAAATGTAATATCTCGTAAATGAAATACCGAAAAAAAAATTTTTTTACTTTCGTTCGTAAATTATTGCATTTAATCAATAATTCAATATATCAAATGAAAATTTAGTATAATAAAAGGAATTTAAAGGTCCAAATATATATGAAGAAAAAATTATTTGATTATGAAGAGAAAAATATAGAGAATTACTGTTTGATACTATTTGATAGTTTGCAGAATAGAAAGAGCAACAACTGCCATTATAATTATAATTATATAATGTAATTATTGTTTTATTAATATTCATGCATAGAATGTGTCATTTGTGACTATAGTTATTTGCTTAAGAATACAATCGAATTATATATATTACATATATTACATATATGGAATTGTCGCAGATTGTATAGAATATCCAATAAAAGGAATTTTAAGTTATAAATTTGTGTATAATTTTATTAAAATATTCATAAAACATAAAGAAATATTTATTCTTAAACATAGATAAAAAAATATTTTATTTTAAAAAAAAATTTCGCGATTTTGAAAAATAAAAATTATGAAGTATTTTTACAAAAAAATTAAAATTGAAACAATTTACATCCTTAGAAATTTATAATCTCTGCTTTTTAGAAAAATATTTTATTTTATTAAATAATATTATTTAATCTTATATTAATAATTAATTATAAATTAAATATCATTATTTAATTTAAATCTCTTATTTTATTATTAATTTATTAATACTTATTATTAATAAAGAAACTTATATATTTTTTTTTAATTATAAAAAAAAAAAATCAGTTAAAATTTCTGTACAGAAATAAATATATATATAATATATGATAAATATACTATTAAATTTACAAATATTAAAAAAAAAAAATTAATAGTCTATACTAACATAAATACAAATTTTAAATGACATCATAACGAAATTAAATTAAACAAAAAAAAAACAAGAATGATATTCAAAGAAGAAGTTAGCATTCTATTTTCACTTCAAACTTTGTATTTTTTCTTTTCAGTTCAAACAAAGTCGAGTTCAGAGTAAATTCAAGAGTATAAAGGCGCTCGTTTTAATTGATCTTTACTATATGTACGTTGAAAAAATGTCACGAAATCTGCAAGAAATAAAGAAAGAAAAAAAAAAACAAAAAACTCGAGAATAAAAATTCTCTGAATTTATCCAAAATCGAATCATTATTCTTAGAGAGTGCATGAAGTACAAAATTCGATTCGATGTGAAACGTGACAGGAAAATCAAAGAAATTTGATAGAAGCTATGTAAATGAGATAGGAATTATCTCAAAAAATGAAAAATCGTATGTCAAATGTAACCCAAGAATTCGTCGAGTTTTTCTCGCGAATTACTTGCTGGCTATGGGAGACCATCGAAAAGTTATTCGACATCATTTTCGATTTCTTGGCAAGGATAATCGAGCTGATACTAGCGGTGATGAACCTGATTTTCCAGGTGATCTGTTTCTTAAGGGACCTAGGTATCGAATCCATGCAAACATTCGTGAACGTTTTTCGAGGGATTGTTAGAGTCATTAGCAATATCACTTGCGAAGAAGTCGAGGATTTTGCCTCTGCCTGCATTGTTGTTTTGCTTTGGATCGCGGCATTTAAGATCGCCAAGAATTTAATAAAAGTAGGAATATTACATATTTGAAAATTTTTTATTTATCATTTTCAGAATTTTTATTAATATTTTTTTATTTTTTAATATTTCGAGAGTTATATTCTAATTATAATTTTAATAACCTATAAAATATGGAATAAAATAATTATATCTGACGTATTTTCTTATAACTTTAACGTTTGATTTAAACATTCAAATTATTTCAATAACCGGTTTTCTCAATTATTTTGAAGATTTTATTATATATTTATCCGATGATGATGCATTATATTCTTTATGTTCATCGAATGTTCTTCTCACTTTCATTATCATGTTTTGTATATGATTTTTCACTTTAATTAATAAATGTACAGTGCCACATAGAAATATTGATTTCTATGTGATATTAATTGATATTAATTTCTCCAATAACGTTTTTCTCTAAAAAGATTGATAAGAAAAAAAGATTACAAACAAAATATCAAATTGCATGATTATTTATATTGTAAAATAATATACCAATATACTTAATTTCGTTAAAAACAATGTTTTTATAATGTAATTTTTATGTTGTATTTTTATAATGTATTTTATTATTTAATTTTATTATTTATTATTTACTTTTATAATACAGCTATCTAATAATAATAAAAATATATTTATACTTTGATATATTTTATCATATATTTAAATTTTAATAAAAAATTAAAAAAAAACTCTTACATTTTAGAGATTTGCGAAAAACATTACTGAAAAAATTGGAATGCCTCAATACATTTGTTTTGCACTTTATATATATAAAATTTTGAACTTTAACACTTTGAAAGCTTAAAGGATCGTTCATTACAACGGTCTACTGTACACTAATCAAAATTGTTATTGATTCACATGATAGTTCCAATGTCATACATATCTCCCAGAACTCTCGAATAGCTGCGTTCCTTAACCCAGGAAACCCGGATTCGAATGAACTAGAGCTAGGAGTTTGTCCGGCGCAAAGAAGAACAGGGAGAAGGATGAATCGACGTTATGGCAAACGACCTCGAGGTGATCCTATACTCGACGATTAGAATAAAAGAAATTACAAGGTAAAGATTTAGAAAAAAAGAAAAAAAAAATTAAATAAATTTTAATGCAAAATCGTGCATTAATAAATATTATATTAAAATAATTTTTTTTTATATCAAAAATTTACTTTTTTTGTTATATTAACATTGTTAAAAAACATAAAAATTAATTTTATGTTAATAAATTAAATTATTATCTCACAGATTTAAAAAGGAGTGATTATACATCTAACACATGCAGTGAATAAAATCTATACCAAGAAAGCTATAAAAAATAAAATATATATTTCCTTATAAATATTATTTCTTATATTTATCATTACATCATACACTTTTCATTCGTAAAAATTGGTACAGAATTCTGACGGACGCTGCCAGAAAAGTTAAGTTCTCTATTTACAAAAATATTTTGTATAAAATAACAATGTGTAAACTCGTATATCAAATACAAAATTACACTTTGTAATTTGTGTTCTATTATATATACATAATTAAATATAAATCTTTAACAAATATCAATTTGTAAAAGAGAGATATAGAAAAAAAATTTTCATTACAAATTATTTTCTATTTCTTTTGTTGAATAAAAAAATATATTCATAATAGTTTATCTCTTTTTTTACACATTGATAAATAAAGTCTCGCTAGTAATCTATCGCTTGTTCGATAACTGCAAAAACGCAATTTGATTATAAATAATTTCGTCGAAATTCTTTTGTAACGAGATTAGATAATACTTTGCTTACGTCAATTTATCCTAATTCAGTTTTAACGATATTTTTAAATAATATTAATAATATTAATTTAGTTTTTTCAGTCATTTACAACAGTAATAACCAATTTATGTTCTGGCCAAGAAAATGTCTTTGGCAATTGAATCTATAATATAAATAAAAAATAAATAACTTTAATTATAATATATACATTATATATATATAAAAATATTTTGATACATTATTTTACTAAATTAGTATTATTAATTACCTGATTTGGTGAATTTAAAACTTGAAACTCTTGAGCCATCTTTTCAGATAAATCTTCTGGAAGCAGAACTTGTAACCATGGTCCTTGAACTACATATGGTTTTTCCCTAGAAACTAGAGTTCCAGTAACTGAAGGTGCAACTATTGTAATTGCAGTATGAGATAATATTGATTTAAATGTAAAATGCCTTCCATGCATAACTCGGCCTCTATACAAAAAATCATATTTATATATATATATATAATATATATATATACATATATATATACATATATATTAATATATATGATAATAAAATCATTGAAATAATATTAAAAAATATTTACTTTATTGCTAATGGTAATAAAGATCCAGCTTCAAGATTAAAAGTCAAATGAAGACCTGGTAAAACTTTAATAAAATTTTCATTTGGTAAGTTTGTATCTTGTTCACAAGGAGACAATCTTTCCGATTTTATTATTGGTTTTATATCTTCATCTTCCTCATCTGATTCGTTTCTTGTCTCTCTATATTTTTCTGTACTCTTATCATTATTTACTTGGACCCACCTAAATTATGTATAATATTTAATATAATAAATATTTTATATTTTAATTTTTCATGAATTTTTAAATGAATGAAAGACACTTACCAACATTTTGCAGATACACCACTTAAATTAGAACCCTCTTTTTCTATACCAGTTTGTATTTTTTCTGCTATAGAAGGATCATCTTCCATAATAGAATACATTCTTCTCATGTCTGTCACTAACCATGGTCCACAACCACGACTAGATTTTAATAAGTTTACAAGACCTAGACCATTCCAGTGTTGTGCAGCTTGTAGTTCTTCAGAAGTAACTCCTACAATTTGAACAAATGAAACCTGTAACATTGTACATGGATCATTAAAAATATTTTATTCTGATTTCATTATTTGAAAATTAAGTGATTTTTATTCAAAATTAATATTAAAAGAACTTACATCTCCATGTGGTGTAGATATGGAAGCTGGTAACTGTGGATCTTTGCCCATTAAAATTTGTGTAATACGACCATTGCCATTATCCAAAGGTGCATGCCACGAGACATGGTCTCCCGGCAACAGCATGTTACCAGAATTAAAAACATATTTTGCTAATTGTTGCATTACATTTGCTGGCCAAGTGGGAGGAGTCATTTCATTTCTTTCTCTGACTAATCTAAAGGTTAATTCAAATCCAAAGCCACTAGCACGACCAGGACCACTTTTTGGATGTATTCGTCCATCTCCATGTAAATCCGATAAACCCAAACTTTAATTAAGAAATTTTATTATGATATTGTTCTAAATAACTAAAGTAAAATATTAAAAAATTAAAATTAAAGAATGATAATAAATAATTGAAATATTGAGATTTTTGATAGATAGATAAGCAAAGACTTTTAATAGAACCAAAATAATTCTAAACTCTCTAATCTACAAAAAATAGATTTAATCAATGATGAAACATATTTAGATAAGACAGACAGAAAAAGGTAAAACCCACGGATCTATTTCCGATGCGTCGCGCTTCAAACAACTTTATCTTCCTGTACCCTATACTTTCTATATATAGAAAAAGAGGGAACTATTGGAACAGCTGCTTCAAACTGAAGAAGGAAGGGTCACCCATTGAAAATGAGAAAAAACAAATGAACACCCTTTCGCGGTAGACCATTCGTCATTCGGCGCCTAGTTTTTAATGAGGAATTCCTGAAACGAGCATTCATTTATCTTTCCACAATGTGAATTATTAAATACAGCAAGTTGTATATTATATTTTAATAATTTTTAATAACTTAAATTAATTAAATAACATAATAATACAACAAAAAAGATTTTATATATAAGATATTATTTTAAATTTTTATCGAAATATATGAGAAAGTAATAAAAAACCGCTAATATTTTTGAAGTTCACGTTTAATATAGGTTTAATGTATCAAAACGATAAATGAAATTCCCGAATGACAGAAATGGATGCCGCATACACGTGTCATCAAGGGTGTGTCGGAAAAATAACATGCGCTCACATCAAACAGAGGCACACTCCTACTACACAACAGTGACACTGACGAATACCCGACTTCCCGTTTTTTTTTAACACTCTGATTCTTCCTTCTTCACCATGCTACAGAAAAAAAAAACTTTTTTTTTTTTGAATGAATGATGCGAAGTAGTATTTCACTTCAACGATCATAGTAAGAAATCATTAATAGATCATTATTAAAAATTTATATTACAAACTTATTCAAAGTACAAACAATAAATATAAAAATAATTATTATATAAACAATTATAATAATGATTTGTTAAGCATTTTATATTTTTTAAATTTTAAAATATAGAATATTTTCATAAATAAATATTATAGACAATTAAATAAAAATATTTAAAAATGATAAAACTCACCTAATATAATGCCAATGTGGTGGTATGCCTAATTCCGGACAACCTGAATTTTCATACATACTTATGTAGTCTAGAGGATCCGGACCTCCCAACCTAAGCAAAGGTGCATAGAAAATCTCAGTTATTTGGTTTTACATCCGGTTAAATTCACGACTAAGGGTGGCTAAATATAAGTCGTCCTTTCTTCTGTATAAGAGTTCCATACTTAAACTTAATAGAAACCACTTTTTCGATATAGAACTTTACAATATCGTATCAATCAAAAAATATGTAAATTATTTATGAAAAATTATAAATATATATTCAATGAATAATTAAAATATTATTTAATGACATAATGATATTTTTATATTATAAGATAAATACATATTTAATTCAAAAAAAATTCTATAAAAAAATAAAAAAGAACATATTAAATGTAATGATTTCTTTCTAAGAAATATTAATAATTATTTTTCAATTATTTTTAATATATTTAATATCAATAATTATTATTCATTTTTATTATTTATATAATTATATATTATTACAAGAATTTTATGCAGAAAAATTATAATATAAAATGAATTAAATATAATCAAAATAAAATAAAATTGATATAAATTTTTAATTTTAATTATTTAATTTTATTTTAAAAATCAAATAATTTTTTAATTTTTTTAATTTTTAATAAAACACGAATATTAAAAATTGATATGTATGATAGCTAAAAAATAATTAAGAAATAAAATAATAATTTTTAATAAATCTACACTTTAAAAATACATAAGCACGTAAATAATTTCTAAAATATTTTCAAAATTGTATAATGTAATGTAAAATAAAAAATAAATTAAAATGTGTAATTAATTAAAAGTGCAAATATTAATATTTCTATTTTATCTAATATTTTTTTTCTCATTCCAACATAAACAGTAAGCATGCAATTTAAATCTCACACATTCTAACGCTAAGAAATCACTTTTTGTTGCTACGCATTAAAATGCAGAATTCTTACCAGTACTTTACAACTGCAGTGACAGTGAGCGGATTGCTTTGGTCCGGATAGATCTCTTTACAAAGATTGTGAAGAGCGTCAAGGCCCAGAGCTCGTGCCGTCGGTGCCTGGATCGGTTGTCCCGGTGGAAAACTTCGGCAAAATTCCTCCCTTTCGCGCATATTTCCGTACATATACGCAGATTTCAAACCACAAAGTATATTGCTTTGAAAATATTAAGGATATATGATACACGATCACTTTGTTTACTCTCTTACAACCACTATGTATATCTTCCACCAAGCACGAAACATACGTCTCTGATTCCTGACAAAACTAAATTCTTTTAGAGCGGACGATCGAGTAATTCCAAAATCACTGCGCGTCTTTAAAAGTCACTTTAGGCAATAACAGAAGATACTTTATCATTGGTTCTTATAAGTCGAAGCGTCTTTCTATTGGATCATTCCGATGGAGTTAAATTACTCTTCGTCCAATTGAAATTCCTGTACACAACTACATTTTCTATATATGATCTGTAGACGATACATCATATATGATTGAAAATGCATTCTATCTATATGTCTCGTAAACTTTGAATATCAGAAGTTAAGCGTTTAAACATGTCAGACTCGGCAAGATGAGGTTACAATACGCGGTTTTATTTCTTCTTTATCTTTTGCGGAATTTACAAATATGTTCAACAATTATGGTAATAAATAATACTACGGATTTTCAACAAGAATACAGACCTGAAGGTCCATTAGTAATGTGTAAATTTTTGTGAGTATTCACAAATTTAATCATATTTATTGATTAAAAGTTATCTTAAATAATGAATAGATTACTGTTTTTTTTGTTTCAATAAATTATTTATTTTTATAGCATGAATGTACATTTTACAGGCCAAAAGAATTTATAGAATGTGAAGAACCAATTGATCACAAAGGTAATAAAACTGCCAAAGAAGAAACTGGATTTGGTTGTGTAAAGGTATAACATTGTATATTATAAATATAAATATTTTATTAAAACAGTAATTTTTTAAATATTTTATTTTTAGTTTGGAGGCTCCAGATATGAAGATGTTGAAAAAACTAAAGTATCATGTACTGTGTTGCCATATATAGAGTGTTATGGACCTAGAACATTTAATCGTGAAGGAGTTCCTTGCATAAAATATAGTGACCATTATTTTGCTACTACTTTATTGTACAGTATTCTGTTAGGTTTTTTGGGTATGGATCGATTTTGTTTAGGACAAACTGGTACTGCTGTTGGCAAACTATTGACGTTAGGAGGAGTAGGAGTATGGTGGATTTTTGATGTCATTCTATTAGTCACAGGTTCTTTACAACCTGAAGATGGCAGCAATTGGAATCCTTATGTATAGTACATCAAACGTGGATACATTCCAGAAATGTAAAGTAACATTTAAATATTTTGTATGTTACTTTTTTTAAATCAATATTTAATAATTTCGAATTTATAAGATTATTAGCATAATATCTTTTATAAAAACAAATTTATATTTACTTGTGTATATATATATATATATATGTATACATATATATATCTTAATATGTAAATAAATATTCCTACAAGAGAAGTTGTTTTTAAATATTAATAGTTTCTATTTTCTCTTTTTATTAAAAACATTTTTTTAGAAAGATTAAATGTTTTGATAGTTATCTAAAAAAGATTAAACTATAAATATATTTTAATATTTATCTATTATAATTCATAATCATCTGGATGGTACAATTCACTGAGTAATCTGTAAATATATGATGGTGCATTTCCACCCCTAAAATAAAAATTGTTAATATTGTAAATATTGTTACATATTGATTTTATGAAATTAAGTAATATAAAGAATAAAAATTTTTAAATCATTAATCTTACGTGTTTGAAATAAATAATGTAACTAATTCTGGTGGCACATAATCAAAAACTGGGTTATATACATGAATTCTTTCTAATAAAGTTAAATTTGCATCATCAATTACACCTTCTAATGGTGAAACATGTTTGTTAAAACCATCTTGTTCATGAGAATATAGATACAGCGGAGAAAGTTTATACAATGGTAATAAAACCATTACTGGGACAGAATAATGTTTTGCAGCTTGAGCAACTGTGTGTGAACCCGAAATCGCTCTCAATCCTCCATTTGCCATAACAGTATGTGTAGTAATTATTACTTTATTTACACGTGACATCATTGCAAAAATTGCTACATCTGATATTAAAGTAGTTTTAATTTTTGCTTTTGCAAGATTTACTGCCATTTCATGGCCCTATAAATCATAAAAATATACTTATATACTTAAAAAAATTAAATGAAAATCAAATATAAATTATTTATATATATATTTTAATTTCATATATATTTAAATAACATACACTTAATGATGGTCCCCCTTCAGCTACTATAACTTCAAAAGCTCTTGTTTCAGCAGCTCTTTTGAAAAATTCTTCTACTAATTTTGATGTACCGATTGTCATAATAATTTCATTAGAATGAATGTGTTCAGAAGCTTGCTGTGTAATATTTTCTGCACTGAAATACATATTTTAACATAATATAATACAGAACTCTTTGTACTTTCATTTCTTATTAGAACTAACCAGGTTTCCAATTCAACTTCAAATTCATTAATGTGTTCTATAATAGCTGATTTTAAAGAAGGTACAGAAATATTGAAATCAACTTGTTGATCACCTTCAGCAGTGAGAATTTTATGTAAAGATTCTTGTGGATCTGTTTCATCATTTTTATTTTTTAATTCAGAAGTATACTCTTCTCTAATTATTTGTAATATTCTTCGAACCATATTTCCAATAGAAAATTCAAGAGGATTAGCTTCTACTAAATATTTTCCATTTGTTCTAATTATACTCATCAAATTTCTAAAATAAATAATTATTTTTTGTTATATTCTTATTTTTAGTAAAATTTATATATGTATATATATCTAAGAAACACACAAATAAAATATCTAATTATTATTATTTATTGTAAATTCTAATCTAATTTTTAGTATTTTAATTTTTAAGAAAAATTTAAATTTAATTTTTTAAAAAAATATCTATTTTTAATAATCAATTACTAATTATATACATAAAAAAAATATATTTTTTCTAATAATCGATTATTGATTATTGTGACTATGTATACAGCAATTACACATACATTATATAATACTATCACTAGATACTAATATTTATTGAAATTTATATTCTTTCTATTAGTGTTTCTTAAATTTATGTTAAGTTCTATTAAATAAAAAAAAATATAATTACTCTGCAGTAGTCCATTCTGCATTATTTATAATTTCTTTTAAAGCCAATACAGTAGCAACTACGATATTATATATACCTTTAATATCACTGAAACATTATAAATAATATAAATATAATACATTATAAATAATTCATTTTACTTAGGTTAGATTATTTACAATTCTCACCCATAATGAATGTCATCTATTAATTTTAACATTTTTTCATTAATTTCTTTATCTTTTATGCTAACCATTTCGATCAAAAAGTTATTAGAGATTTTTCTTAAATATTATTCTTTTTATAAAATATATATGAAAGATCGAAACATTTCTACTAATATTATTAAAATTATCGACATTAAAATGCCAGCTGTTAGAAGGCTAGATCAACGATTGGTTCTGCTTTACTCTCCTTGTTATCCTATTCTGTTGCATTGCACGTGTATTTTAACCGCGTGACATGTGCACTATACATTTGATTTTTGATCTTCAACATTTATAACGTTATATTATTATAAATACTTTAAATAATATTTGATAATTTATCGATATTAATTTACATTTAAAACACTGCAATTATGGCTCGTATTGGGGATGTTGTAAGTATAATAAATGATTTTATTATATTTTTTCATATGAAAATGATCCTTAACCTACCATGTATATCTTTCCGCCTGAAAATTACCGCAAATTTGATTGATTGAAATTAAAGAATTAAAAACTTTACTTCAAATATAAGGTATGTTATTTAATAATTATTATATTATTGTAGCAAACAATTCTTAACTTTAATTCATTAAAGTATTTAATATTTAATTATTATTTCTTTTTGTTTATTTCTAGTTTATTTTGATATTGATATATTTATTAATTTAAAATTATTTATTATGATTTCAAGACTGCAGATCAATTGATAGCTGGTACTAGTGTATTGTCTAGACCTGCAGAAGAATTTGATAATGATGTAAGTTATAAATAAAACCAAGAAAAATAAATTTATTAAGATAATAATTATAATAATTATTTTATTAATTTTTTTATTTAGCCTTCTGTTGAAGCAATGTGGGCAATGAAAGCTATGGAACATGCTGAAGTATACTTTAATGTAAAAAATATTTTAATAAAATTGATTTAATGTTACTTGAAAAAATATATAAAATTTTAAATTAAAAATTTTTTATTTTAGATATTATGCTCAGTTGATCCGAAATTTCTAAAACTTACACCTCATGATGAACAAATATATAAAACTTTTCGTGATGTTTTCCCTGATCTCAAACTAGATAAAATAAATGAAGATGAATTAAAGTCACCCGAAGGAAAAATAAAATGGAGACCATTCTGTGAACAATTTAAAGGACTTGTTGAAGATTACAGTTTTGGTACATTATTAAGAGCAGATTGTGAAGGAGATTATTCAGAAGAAAATAGTATACTCACAACTAGAATACAATTTTATGCTATTGAACTTGCCAGAAATAGAGAGGGATTTAATGATGGTATTAGGCAAAAATATAAACCAAAGCGGACTACAGAAAAATCATAAATTATGATAAATATTAATATTCTAATAATTCTTTATTATATATTATTTGAATAGTGTAATTTTTCATCTACAATTTTTTACAATTTATAAAATCTTATAAAATGTTATTTATAATGAACAATATCATAAATGAGTTTAAAAAAAATATTTTATTATTAATACAAAATATTCATTTTTTCAAGTTTTGTAACTGTAAACTCATTAAAGGATTTGATGCACGAGCTCGATATTTTGATTGTGTAGCAGTAGGTTTAGATGCTGCAGTTTCCCTATTAAACTTTTTCTTTTTTTTGCCAGTATTAACAAGTCTTTTTAAAGTTGGTGGAATTATATAATCTGGTACATCTTTTAAATGTGATTGTAATTTTACAGTATGTAATGCTTTATCTTGTCTCAATGATTGCAAATCTCTTGGATTATCTTCAAAGTAACTTTTTAATTTTTGACAATTGAGTACTTCTTGTTTTATTTCTTTTAAACGAGCTTCACGAACAGCAATTCGAGTTACTGCTTTCCAAGCATCTTTTGCTCGATATCTAAAAGTAAATAATGATAAAATCAAAAATATAACAAATTTTTATGTAACATACCGAAAACCTTCGACTTCTTCTAATTTAAATTCATATGTCTTTAATAATTTATCGCAATTATAACATTGTTTTAATTCAACTTCAACATCTTCAAGAATTGGTCTTTCTCTTATTGATACAAGACTCAACACTGTTCCGTCATTTTTACCTCGAGCAGTACGTCCAGCTCTATGAATATAAGAATTTATATCTAGAGGAAAGTCAAAATTTAATACATTAGATACAAATTGAAAGTCAATCCCCCGGGCTACACCAAATTCTTTGTCTTTTTTTCGCTTTCCTTTTTTAATTTTTGCTATATGTGGCTAAAAAATAAAAATTGTAAATTTAAAACAAAAAGATCAATAATATGTAAATGATATATAGATACAAAATATTTACTTCTTCTAAAGATTTTTCATCTGATGCTATTATAATATCATATGTTCCAGAATTAAATTGAGTAACTGCTCTACATCGTGAAACTGCTGGTAATTCAGAATTTAATACACAAGTTGCTATTCCAAATTGTTCTAAAAACAATTTTAATTTATAACATCTATCTACAGTATTTACAAATATAATAGTTTTTCCCCTAAAAAAAAATAAAAATAATAAATTACATTACATATTTTTATTAATACATTAAATATATAATTATAATATATAATTATATTATATTTATATAATTTACCTAATTAAACGTAATTTTAACAAAGCACATAAAATAGCAGCTTTATCATTTTCCTCTGCTGCAAGACTATAATGCGATAATTGTGAAAGTGGAGCCAATGGAGGTTCCTCCAATTTTAAGATCACAGGATGACGAAGTACCAATTTTTTAAGTGTTATCACATCTTCAGATAATGTTGCAGAGGCTAAAACTGCTTGGTATAATATTGGTAAATAATTCAGTATATCTTTTATTTCATTTTCATATCCAAATGAAAATATCTAAAATAGAATACAATCATTGTCATGTACAGAAATATGTACTTAAATTAAATTTGCCTACCAAATCAGCTTCATCAATTATTAATGTTTCAAGTGATTGCTTTAATTTCATATTTTTTGCTTTTAAATGTTGTAATAATTTACTTGGAGTGCTTATAACTATATCAGGTTTTTCTGCTAATAGTGGTTTCTGTGCACCAAGATCTATTTGAGGACTGACATCAATAGCTTTTACTTCTCTGCTACATTTTATTGTTAGACTGATTATAACGTCATGTATTTGTTTACATAATTCTTTGCTTGGAGCTATAATAAGACCTTTAATTTCTTGTTGTTTTCGTGTTTGTTTATTTGATAATATTTTTTGAATAAGTGGTATAGTAAACGCAGCTGTTTTTCCAGATCCTGTACGAGCTCGAATTAAAATATCTTTTCCTTCAATCATTAACGGTATCGTTTTTTCTTGTATTAATGTTGGTTCTAACCAACCTAATTTTGCAATAGCCTAAAATATTTCATTTTAAAATTAAATATATTATATAAAAAATTAATTTTATAATTATATAAAAAATATATAATAAAATATATATATAATTTTATAATGATATAAAAAAGTTAGAAAACAATTTATTAATTTTAATAAAACAATAATTTTTATTTTGAAACATAACCTCTCTTAAATGATAATGAAAATTTATTTAAATACCTTTAAAATTCTATCATCTAATTCTAATTCATGAAAAGTTTTCGCTTTTGTTTCATAATCTTCATCCACTTCCATTTGATTTGAAATCATTTTAAATGCAAATTATATATTAATTAAAATTAAAAAGCACGTGTTAATATGTTTTTAAAGATTTGTTGTTAATTCTATCAATTTCGATTCTCGACCAACGCCATTTGTGTTTTATTTAGATATCTATATTATCTAGATATTTATATAAAATTCATTTTTATTTCATTTTTATTTCATTTTAAAGACTTTTAAGTATATATACAGGATTATGTATAATGAATATGTATATGAATATATATATATATATATATATAAATACTTTATATTAATTTTATCTTTTATTTAATTTTTCTTTTAATTTTTTAATTTCTTTCTAATTTTAAATATAATCTAATTTTATGATCTAATTTAAATAAATCTAATTTTAAATATTTTTTCAGTATATTTAATGTATATATATAATATACATAATATAATATATAATATGTAATATATGTAACAATCTACAAATGTTAAAATATATTACAATTAATTCAAATGGACTTAAGTCATAATCAATAATATTGAATATTTCTAATATATGAATAAATAACTTAAAGTAAAATAACATAACAATCTAATTTTAAATCGATGTTTATCGCAATACGTAGTCTATTTAAATATTTGCAAATAAAATATAATCAAATATTAAAATTTATTAAAAATTTGGATTAGTTTAAAAAACTAATTTTTTTTATGTATCAATAATTTTTAATTTAATTAATTTAAAAATAGAATAAAATTCAAAAATACAGTTTTAAGAACTCATATTAAAAATGAATTTTGAATATTTAAACATAATCCAATATTGATTACTTCACCAAAAGATAAAGTTAATAAAATTGAAATAACTTGCAGGCATTGTAAACAAATGAAAACTTAAGCAATAAATAAAATTTTAATAAATAAAAATTGAATTAGCAATTAATATTTTACTAGAAATGGAAAACTAGAAACTTATATTACATAGTTTTATCAACAAATCAGTGTAGAATATTTATTTTTTATCACTTAGTTATATATTTTTTAGATAATAAATTTATTTGTAAGTACAGACTTATCTCATATATATATGTATTTTCATATGAATTCTAAAAATTAAAATTTTTTAATTCTACATTAAAATCTAAAAAATAGATAAAAACTAAATAACCTTTTAATATAAATTTTTGTTAAAATTAAGTTATAAAATCAAAAATTTTATAACTTATTATTTATTTTGTGTTAAATCATACAAATGATAAAATACAAATGCAAATTTAGTTATAAATAAAAATATTTTATAAAAGTAATTACATTTTAAATATTATGAAAATTAATGTAACAATAAAATAATATTCATACGAAAACATACTATTATGAACTAAATAAAATAATACTGATTTCCATAATATAGAAATTTTAATAAAAAAAAGAATAATTTAAAAAATAATAATATAAACAAAAAATATATGATATTAAATACAACACAAGAAGAAGTACATTAAAGAAAATACAAATTTTTTTAAAAAATATCTATAAATTTATCATAAAAAGAAATTTTTGGGAGGTAGAGATTTGAGAGAGACCATTTCTAGAATATATTACTATATACACACTTTAATAACCAAAAACAAACATTACAGTAATAATATTGTTATTAATATAATATTATGTAATAATAGAATCGTTTATCAATTGTAGTGTAAACACTAAAAATCTTGCTTCTTTTTTTATTGGAAAGAACAATGCATTCGCTTTGTCTCTTTATTAATTAATATTAATTTATGATCGTCGCGAAGTAGCCGCGCTTGCGACTAGGCGTCGATCGCGACTGAAGAAATTACCATATCTCGCACGAAACATTTTCGCGCGGAAGCGATCGATAGTTCGTCGCTTTTGATCCCGGGCATCGATTCTTGATGCGATCGAGGCCATAAGAAGTGAGGGTGGGGATGAGGGAGCAAGGTATCGCGAGCGCGGCGAATCGCGACCGTCTTGTTACCTTAGAATAATAAATATTATAGTGCAATATCTAAAAAATCTGTCTTTTTTATGCAACTTACACATTCAAATACAATGTACTCGAAAAATTTACAATTGTTATTGCCCTTACAAACATTAAATCTCTATTCGAATGGTGGTAAATCCGCGATCCCTCTCTTTGACCGCTAAAAAAGAATGTTTGATTCAAGATTGTGTGAGTGCGTGTGTAAGAATCAAAAAAGAGGTGCAGCTGCTGCTGTAGTGATACGAAAACTGTCGTTTTTTCTTCCTTTTTTTTTTTTCTTTTCTTGTTATATATGTATATGCGCGTGTACGCGTATATGAGCATTGCCTATACATGTATGTATGCTCGTACTTTGCGTACGTACGATCGTAGATTCGATATCCTGACCATGCGTTTTACGATCCGGAATAATATATGTATAGGATACTTTTTTGCTTATATTTTTTCCATTCGTTTTCGATTTTTTCGCCAATGTTTCGGCACTTTTTGGTCATGGTTAACTGTGCGGGCTACATATCCCTGTATACGATACATAATATACATATTATATGTATACGTTATAATACGTGTATTATATATTTCGAAAGTATATATCTGTCAGAACGAGTAATTCATCGCTCGGCAGTCCAGTTGACATTCGAGTTTTAACATTGATGACAAATTATAATTGCGTGTGCACGTTTTATATATATGTATAATCGCTTACATGACCGAACATGTGAAGTAGAAAAACAATAACACAAAACATAATGAGTCACGTGATGATTTTACGCGGGAAACCGTTGTTTATCGACCACTTTTGCGCTGTCTATGTAATAAAAACGGCAATAAAAATTCGCGTACGTATACAATGCTCGTGGTAAAACGTAGATTTTATCTCCCGCAGAAAAATCAGATATTGTTCGCCGAAGCAAAACGAAAAAACTTATTTTTTTTTTATGTGTATATAGATTATCTTGTCTCGCTTCTAAAATAGAAACGAATCGATCGAGAAATTTTTCAATTATTATTTAACAAGAAACATTCTCCATAGTGGTGGAGAGGGAATTTTTGAGCAACTGAGAAAAAAAAAATGAAAAAATAGAACGAAAATCATCGTGAAAAATTAACGTGTATTCGTAACTATACATTTTTTTTAATGTATAGTCTGCTTTCTTTAAGTTGTATAAGATGATTCTTTTTATTTTATAACATTTAACTTTTTCGATTTTAGATAATTTTAATTTAGATAATTGTAATTTCAATAACTAACTCGATTTTATTATGACATTTACATCTTTTAAAATTGTGCATAAAGTGAAAATAAATAGAAATAATTAATTAATTATTGTTTAATTAATTACTATCAATAATCACACGCAATTTTCATTGTTAAAAAATTATCATTAAATTATTCATTTATTTCATGAATAATATAAAAAAAAATTTATGTATGCTTATTTAATTATTATTAATATTAATGATTCAATATTTTTTCACAGGTCGAAAGAGTTAAGATAACTCACGGAAGTCGCACGATGAATATTCGTTCGTCTATGTGTAGCAACTAATCAACAACATATAATTTATGTAAAAATACGCATCGTAATTTATGTAAAATGACATTAAATACGTAACAACACAGATTGCTATGAGAGAGCATTGCTTCTGAATTCAGTTCAAGATGGAAGATGGAAGAATAAGATCAAATAAGGTCAATTAATATTTATATTTCGAAAAGTTTGTTTCCTGAATTTTGTCTATGTTAATTAATTTCCACCAGTTGCATGTCTTATAGTTATCACAATACAATTTTACGACTTCTACAGAATAATTTTCGATTTTTGAGAGATTTGAAAATGAAAAGGATATTGAAATAGATGCAGGGCTGTACGCTGAGAGAAAGCTGTAGATATTATACAATAAAATTTATTAATTATATGCATATGATATATATAGATATATATTTTCATTATCAGATGCATATTTTTAAAAAAAATTATAAAAAAAAATACAAATTGGATAAATAATATAAAATAATAGTGAAATTTTTAATAAATGAAATGATAATCGTAATTATATTTGTTGTTTTCAAAAAATTAATATTATATCATGAAATTTTTATTTTTCGAGATTTTTTAATTATTAATTATTTTTTTTAGCTAGACGTGCTTTGTAAAGAAAAATTAAGCTTTGAAGCCATAATAACAATACTACATTACTACATTTAGAATATCACTCTATGAAAATTTTAATGCTATATCTTTTATCAGTTCTATATATGAAAATTCTAAATGCCAATTTGAGCATATACTTTCCTATCTCACTTTTGTACATATAATTGTACAATTTTTATTAATTTTTTATTATAATGTATTGTCTCTTCTTATAAAATTATAATTTTTTTCAATTCCTCGATAGTTAATTATTAATTACTATATTATCAATCACTAATTAAAATAATAAGTGTATTTAAAATCTCGAAAAATTTTTATTATTTATGATTCTTTAATATTTCGAAGCAAGTCTCAAAAAACACACACAATAATGATTGTTTTCAAAGATATAATAATTTGCAAACATATTACAATTTTCTCTCAGTCTACCATGATCGAAGGATGACAATGATGCTAAAAATCAAAACAAGGAAATAAAGGGATGAAATGAAGAAATACGATTACAATATATCGTGTAAAAATATATCTAAAGTTTTGATCTTTCTACGAAAAAAAGAATCAATGATTATATCCTTTCGAAAGAATTTCTAGCCTCTCGTTATAGTCCTCAAATTTTAATCAAAATCGAATTAAAATTTTAAGGACTCGAATTTGCAAATTTCTCATCAAACTAATTATCGGTAAGTAAAATGGGACAATTAACGATTTTGATCGCGGTAATTGGATAACGGGGCAATATAGTAGTGGTATTAATGCCGGTTATAGTTAGGTAGCATTGGTAAATAGAGTAATAGCAGTAACTGACGATACGAATAAGTTTTTCTAAATCTAGGATGTAGCTTGATTTTCAAGGAAAGAAGGAAAAATCCCAGACGAAGATCCTTGAGCAGGATGACTATGATCGACCTTGACAACTCGAGAGCCGATCGACACGAAATCACCATGGAGAAGGTGAGCATATCATGATTCAGGAAGGAGAGATCGATAGA